CAAAATAAAAACGTCTCCATCCTTCCTAAAAATATTCAAATAAAAAAATAATAATATCAAATTCTATTAAAAATAAGCTTGTCATCAAACTAACCATTGTATTATCATAGAATTGTGTTGGTACACCAGTTTGTTTAACTATTAATTTTGTTTGTTCTACATCATCTTGAAATATTAATGAAACATGTGAAAAATGTTCTTTCGGCCATGATTTAAAACGCCATAACATATCAATACGATCATAAGGTATAATCTCGAGAAAATTTCCAGTTATATTATCACCAAATAATGCAAATTGTCCACCTTGTTGACAGTCATATTGTGACACACTATTTTGTGTAAATGCTCTTACCATATTAATATCTGTAAATGTTTGAAATAATTCTGATCGTTGACATTTAAATGTATCTTCAACAGTTAATTCACGTGTGTCAAACGATGTTTGATTAGTTGATGATTGAGTATTTGAAGAAGATTTTGAAGTAGTTGCATTACTTGAATTTACAGATGATGATGATACTGTTTTACTGTTACTTGTTGATGAAGAATTTTTTGTAGGTAGAATTAAACCTTGAGAAAATTCTTCTTTAAGTAAACGAACATATTCTCCAAGTTTTTCACGTATGATAGGTTCACCTCGTTGTTTCATCATTTCTTTGATTTTATCACCTTTCGATTTCTCAATTGAAAATGTTATATTAACTTCATGTATTTCATTCTCATCCGATAAATTAGGAACTTCAAATGCACCTTCGAATTTTGTTCGATTTTCACCTGTACGAATTTGTCCTTCCCATTTACCTTCGATATGCCATTCATACTAAAATTATAAATTGAAATTTTATTGGATATATTAATATTTAACTCACAAGAAAAACAAGTTTTGCTTTTCGATTATTTGCTGATGCTTCACCGTCACATCTTTTTAATTCTTTTACTTCAACTATAAACTGTTCATCTTCAACTTTAAGACCTACTAATAATTCATTCAATTTATCTTTTGACCATTGTGTTGCATTCTTTTCTTTCCAATGCCAATTATTTGGATTTGTAGCTAGAAAGAAAAAGAATTATTTACTAAATTTTTGAGAATCTTTTCTTGATTTTACCATCAGGACGTTCTTCTACAATCCAACGTGGATCACCTTTTCCCCATTCAGCCATGAGTATTTAAGTCTAATTTATATATAAAATAAATAATGTATAGAAATCTTTAAATGAAACTTTTTTAAGTTGAATAATTCTACAATCCGCCGGCCAAGTTGTTTGAATAGAAATGACTTCACTTTCTTTTACGTGATTCGTTTTTACAAGCCAATAGATGACTAACACGATTGGTTTTATGTATGGCCAATACAATAGCGCACTTTATAATTTCACTTATTCGTTACCTGCCGACTAATCATATTTACTAACATAGTTTCAATCAATCTTGTTTATAAATTTTCTGCCCTTCTACAACGATAGAATATAGTGACAAAAGCTGAGCTTTGTATTTAAATCACTTTATAATATTTTTACAAAGTCTTTAACATCATACACAAACTACGTGCAAATATGAAAAATGTATATAAAATGATAATATCAGTTGTAATTGATTCAAAGACACTCATTAATCTATAAAATCAAACGTATATCCATTGAATAATATAGTCTATCTTCTGGAAGACTTAATAATGAATTTTTCTAAATACTGAAATTGACAAGACATTCTTTTGTATGTAACCGTTTTCATAAACTACGTACTTGAGATAACTCAATTAAAATTTAAATAGTTTGCAAGACAGAATTATGAGAAGGTTCCCAAAAAAACTTGTTGACATACTCCTCAATAAAGATTAAGAATAATCATTTTATTATCTTTCTGACTCATTATCTATCATCAATTGTAGTTTTAGTTATAAAATATTTATTAAAAGAAGATGGTGTCTAGCTTTTACTTTCTTTTTTAATTATCTCAAAATAAAAATAATATTTATTGTTGGTGATTCCTATAAGTGAACCGATTCTCTTATCCACAATCCGAAAATGCATAGTATTTGAAGTTTATTGAAATTTGAGCTGTCTCGTCATCCATGTATATAGAAGAAGTGGAGAACTAGATATGACGTAGTTCATTACTATGAGAAATGTATCAGTATTTGCCAACATATTTCTAAAGAAAATCGTCGATTGATTGTTTACTTTTAGTTGAAATCTGTTATCTTTAATTCGCTGACTAAAAGTAATGAACATTTATTTTTAGTATATTTATTCAATTATCTCGAAACATAAAAATTATGTCGGGTGAAAGATGATGTTTAAATCGTTAAAATGAACTTGAGGGTATGATTTTCTGTATATTATCGCATTCAAACGAGTTTTTAATCATTTGCCGTTCTCTAGATCATTGCTGCATAAAGTATATATTTTGTGCCAGCAAAAAACATGAAAAGTATGAAGGATTACATAAAAATAAATCTTAGTCATTATATTGCGATTGGCTATGATGAAATGAAATATAACATCATAATTAAGGACAAAAAATTCATTTATTTCAGCAATGCTTTTAATCAAAAGGTAGGAATTGATAAACTGCTTGAGAAAGATCTACTTTACGTAGCTAGAATTTATTCTCACAAACCCCGGATTGTCAACTCGTACATCCGGTAGCTCTGTATTAGAAAAAGTGCAAATATGATATTGACGAGTTAACATTAGTGTGTATGAAATGTCTTTTATCACTTTATTCTGCATAATACAACTGGATGAATGTTGGATTTTGCAAGATTATTATCATTTTAAAAAGGAAGTCTTTTTTGGAGTAGCAGAGAACGTTGTCAATCAATACTAAAGAATATAAAATCCATATTTTATAATTTCTTTTTCTTTTCTGTCGCCTTTATCTATGAGTAATACATTTATCAATAAACGTTTTTTTTGCGTATAAATAGCGTTTCATCTGTGAGTCAAGGTGATTGTTCGTTTATGAATATATAATCTAAGAATCGCTACGTATATTTGTAAGAATGTCTTCAAAACTGATCGATATGCAACAAAGTGAGTATCAACAACTGTATTCACGACATCAAACAACTAGACGAGAACATCAAAGAGAGCTGATTGGACCACTACAACAGTTAAATACTAACGTACAGCAATCGTTAACAGATGCTAAAAACGCCTATGAAAAAGCAAAAGAAAGTTATCATCAAGAATTTAATGTATTAAAACGTGTTTTTACTCATACAGCTTCTGAACATGAAACACAATTAGTTACGCCTTTAAAAGAAATTTATCATCAAGAAAAAGATCTAGCTAAAAAAGTTGTTGAACTACTCGATGAAACAACACTTGAAACATCTCCTCTTGAAACACGTGAATATTGGAATGGATCTATCGCTGTTGTATACAATCCAATAACTGGTCGTGCTGAATGGAAAAAATATTGGCATGGTGGAGTTTTTGGCGTCTTTAACCCATTAATAGGTGTTATTGAATGGAAAGAGATATACCATCATGGTGTTTATGGGGTCTTCAACCCTCGATTGAATACAATTGAATGGAATCAAAATTTCAATGGAGGTATACACGGGGTTTACAATCCAACAACAGGTATCGTTGAATGGAAATCAGCATTTCATGCGGGCGTGGGTGGCGCCTATAATTCTCTGACAAGACAAGTTGAATGGAAAACATGTTTCCATGGTAGTGTTGTCGGTTATTACGATGAAGAAACACAAACAGTTGAATGGATAGAAAAATGGCATCATGGTCTTGCTCTTATTTTATGGAATGCAAGTACTAAAACATATTCGACAACTGCTAGTTGTGGCTGGTTTGATGATGAATGATGACAAAAACATATGTTATTTTCTTTGTAATGTTTATTTTGA